TATTGTGTCCCAAAATGTCTCATTACACTATCATTCTCACATCATACATACTCATAAAATAAATAATAGGTCCATAACTAAAGTTTTGTTTACACTTCTCTAGGAAGAAAAATCTATCATAAGCATTAGAAAAGTGTAACTTTGGAAAAATTCTTTGCCATCTAAACTAACTCTAAATTCTATGAAATTTTCCAGTACAAAATACATATATTCTAGGATTATAATAAAAATTATAACTCAAAATTTAAAGATTTCTAAGTCATTCAAAACTTTCCTCCATTTTCATACGTTTTGAAGATTCCACTATCAGGGCATTACTCAAAGATATATTTTTATAAAATAAAATAATGGTCATAAAATTATGAAAATAAATATACTTAACATATACCTACAATCACAACTATGATAAAAAATTCATCTCAAAAAAACTTCAATTTCGATTTTCTATGATTTTTCAAAGTTGCTGAGCGAACATAACAATTCTGTTTCACCCAACTCAAAACATATTTACTTCCAAGATTTTTCATCGAAAATCAACTGGTCAGAAAATTTTGAAATAAATCACACACAAACTAGACATATAAAGAAACATGTAATCAAAATTTCAGAATTAAATACCAAGTAAATAGTTTTACATAATTTCCCAAAGATTCTATTCACATGCAGATTCTTGTCCAAATACATCTCTCAACACATATTTCATCATCTTCCTCTAGAAAAATCCAATTTAAGTGATTTTTATGACTAACTCTAGGTTTTAACATCCAAGGAATCCATTTTTAAACTCTAAAATATGAAAGGAGCATTGTAGAGTATCTAAATATACTAGAATAGCCATACGAAATTTTTATAAAACATTTTAATTTGGTTCCAATTAATGTAGAAGTGAGATAAATGATGATTTAACCTAGGGTTGATGACAAGAAGACTCTCCTTACCTCAAATGAAGCTTTCAAACAAGAAAATGGAGATCCTTAGTTCAAGAAAAGTTTGTCTCCTATAAGCATCAAAATGACTATATATTTGAGATTAAGAAAATTTTAGGAGATAATATTGAAATCCAATGCTTTAATTTCATGGATCTTACTCTTAATTGCAAAAAGGATGAACCAAGATGGTGTGGGCAAGCAAAATCAAGCTTCTCTTCTTCCTCCCGTGCTCCCAAAATGGCTTCCGTAAGTGAGAAAGAAAATTGATCTTTCTCTTCTTTAAATTTAACCTCCTTTCCAAAATTACCCTCACTTACTTTTTCACTTACCAATTAAATCCTTTCATCAATGGTAAGTTATATTAGTAATTTTGCTTAATGATATTACTCTTATTATTATTATTACTTCATTTTAAACTCAATTGTAAATTTATCTATTTCACTCTATTAAAAATTTCATAATATATATATATATATATATATATATATATTATTTATTAATATCTTTAAAAATTATCAAGTCTTAAAATAACTCATAATACCATTTTATTAAAGTTAATGACAAAATATTTTATTATATTAATGAAATATTTTTGGGAAATACTGGATGTTACAACACCCTTCCTTATAAACCCTTAATCGGAAGAATTAATAATTTTTAGCAGAAATTTTTTTTTAAAACCAATAATAATCTTTCCCTCGTACATAATATCAATATATAAATTTTCAATAATCCATTCCTGCATTTCATCATTTTTAAAAGTACTAAAAGTAAACATTAGTAATTACATATAGATAAAATACTAGTATAGTCCTCCAAAATATTAAGGCAACATTGGGGATACTTCCTACAGAGCAGCTAACTACACAAAAGAATGACTACTACCTATATATACTACAAAAGACTGTCTATAAAAGTTTGGATATGTTTATCCCAATACATGTTGTCATCATTGTAGCTCCCAACTAATGAGTATGAGTAACATATTCATCGGGTATGGAATCTGTGTCATCTCCCCTCTCTTCAAACAATGATCGATCAGGTCCAACGAGTACCGCAAGTACAAGCAAAATAAAGAAAACAGAAAGACAAGAGGGTGAGCAACAGTTCATACATCATTTTAAAATCAACATCATAAACATTCACAAGTCAATCGAATTCCAAATATATGATGTTAATGATGCATGATCCTAATATGTTTTCTAAAATGTTTATGCATGCGGACCTGAATCATTTCTCAAATCAGTACTGGGGTAGCCAGGAGTTAACACTACTAGGCATGAAAAATCCACCCACGGGATTGTTGAGACTCATGCTCAAATATAAACTCAGTAGCTCACTGACCATTGATATACGGTAAGAGCACAGTCAGGTATAAGAGAGTTTGTACAGTGGGATCCCCGACAACTGGTAGCGAGCCTGGGTCTTTTGGGGCCTCCAACCACTATCCTTCCTATCCTCAAGTCCTCCCTCAGGGTCTCCCTATCGTATTCTCAGAGTCCATAATCTCTGATTCCCTAGATTTCACAAATCACCATTTTCAAATGAGTAGTGTATGAATCCCTAAGTGGTTTTTTTTTAGAAATTCACATTTTTCCAAAAATTTTGACTGAGTTTCCCCTGTAATACGGACTTCCCAAAAATTTCCAATCACCTGTTACAAGCAGAAAACTTCCAATACAGTTCAAAAAGGGTTCACAACCCATCATCTAATTCTTTCATTTTAATTTTCAATGAACTTTCTCATGAAAAATTACCATGCATATAAATGCTCACTCAAAGACCATACATAACATAATAGAGTACCAAACATGTATTTTACACCATCATACACGTAAACAATTCATTATCACTTTCACAACCAAGCATATAATGAAATCAAAATTTTCAATCATAACAAATTTAGACAACTTCAACAAATAAGGTCAAACAAGTTTATGATGTAATCCTTATAGCTCACCCCTTACCTGATACGTTCACACTTATTCCTTTCAAAGTTTGATGTTGTGTTTCAGCAAAATCTATATACGTAATAAAATACTAGTTAGAATCTTATATTTCTATGGTTCTATCTCATGAGAATTTAAATTCACGTTGTGTTGCTAATCCATTTCTAATAATATTTTAAGCTCATAGCTTACAATTAACTTAGAAGATTATCCTATTTTGTATGCACTTAGAGTAGTAAAATTCCTAATAGCAAACATGGACAAGGTTCAGTATTTTGGAATTTTCTAGAGTTATATAAGCTGTTTTGGAATGAGATCTGAGCCAAAATTTCAATAACTTAATTACCTACAATATTGATGAAGGAAATAAATTCAAATACCCTATAAAATAGGTACAGTTTTCAGTGGTTGTTTCCAACTAGGCTCAACTACAATAATACTCTGAACATGCCTTGGTAATTGGATTATAACTCATGCTACACATAAGCTATTAACATGAAACAAATTTATAAATTTCAGGAATATAATTTCCTACAACTTTTATGAAGGAATCAAGTCCTAATTTCACACGTATCAATCCCAGTAATTCAAAAACCGAGGCTGTTGAAATAGGGTTACCTCTTAACGTCATAGCTAGAACACTTGATAGCAAAATGGGCATAACTTGAGCTAAAAATATCTGTTTAATGTGAAACCAGTTTCTAAATTTCGAAAACTTAAAGAGCTACAAATTTCATCAAGATACTAATTTCTAATTCTGATCACATAAGTCTCAGAAATTCAATGAACAGTACCTACGAATTCGGGTTCTTAAAGTTTTTAGCTTAACCACTTCTAATCCTCAATTTTAAGCATTATTCTAGTATTCTAGGTGTAAAACCTACAATAACACTCTTCCTACACTCATTCAAGCTCAGCCAAATGAAAAGAAAAATAGAAAATGCATCATTTTGAAAAATAAAACGGTAAAAATGTAGAGGAGATTGAGATAAACTAACTTACCTCTTGAAGCTTCTCAAGAAAATCAAGATTTTCCGGTCAAAATCAAACTTAAAGATAAGAAAAATTTTGAGAGAAAAGAGGAACGGTTTTATCCATTTCTGATGCGTCCAACGGATTAGAGGCCGCATGAAATAAGATTTCAAACAACAATCCGCTCAGCGCATTTCTGATGCGCTCAGCGGATTAGATTACCAAAAATTTATCCATTATTTTTTTTCCACTCTAGCCAAGATTTGAACCCACAACTTCTAACATTCAAACATCACTCCAAACCATATCAACCATCATAAGTTTCTTGTCAACTTATACACATAATAAACTTTTATTGTAACCATACTTAATGCACACAAGAAAACAATAATTTCTAAATGTGACAATTAAAATTGTTAAGTCCATACTATTTCAATTTCAACCCTAAATCATATAATTACTATCAAGCGCCAGATTACGCATGAAACAGATCAATTTTAAGTATTTTTAAAAAATTCTAAAAAATCATAAATAATCTAATAAACATAAAACTCTACATTCACTTTACTCAATTCCTTATAATATAATTATTAAAATTTTGACAAAGATTTTGTCAAAATCTAATAAATAAGAGGTAATGAGAATTATGATGTTACATGTATCGTAATCAATATCTTCAACTTAATTTTTTTAGTATGATTTATATAATTATTAGTTTTTTTATCTATTATTAATTGGTTTTAAGTTATAATTTATCAGAAATTTTATGTATAATTATATTTATATTACAAGTTTTATTAAATATATCAAGTATATTCTCTCTTCCAAACAATTAATTATAAAAAGATAAAAAAAAAAAAAGAACTTAAAAAACAATGTGATATTTATGTAGAAAAAAGAATCTCCAATATTTTAGTACAAGCATTTGTAGCAAAACACTATGGACTTAAAATTGTATAGAATCTACAAGCACAACCTACAGCTTGTGCTAAAAGCCTAGAACTCAAGTTCTACTTCTAAGAATGGGGTGGGAAGATTCAATCTTTAACCACTTGGTTGCATTTATCTATCTTAAATTCCAGCGACCTCTTTCAGTCTGCCATGATTGATTTCTTGGTAATAGCTTCTTATATTAGATGATCCAATTCCCATGCAATGCATGTACCCCCTTCAAATTCAAACCTTCCGCAACCTTCTCAAAGCTTGCATAGCCCAAAGGGACCTCATAACAGGCAAAATCCTCCATGCCCTTTATATCAAGTCGCTCATTCCACCCTCCACCTACCTCTCCAACCACTTCACTTCCCTTTACATCAAATGTGGTTCCCTCCACAGTGCCCAAACTTCCTTCCACCTCACCCAACACCCCAATGTCTTCTCTTACAACACTCTCATCAATGCCTATGCCAAACACTCCCTTATCCACCTTGCCCACCAGCTGTTTGAGGAAATTCCCCAACCAGACATAGTCTCTTACAACACTCTTATAGCTGCATATGCTGATAGGGGTGAGTGTGGGCCCGCGTTGAGGCTCTTTGAAGAAGTTAGAGAGCTCGGTTTGGGCCTTGACGGGTTCACGCTGTCTGGTGTGATCACTGCATGTGGTTATGATGTTGGATTAGTTAGGCAGTTGCATTGCTTTGTGGTGATGTGTGGTTATGATTGTTATACTTCGGTGAATAATGTGCTGCTCGCGTGTTATAGTAGGAAGGGGTTTTTGAATGAGGCGAAGAGGGTGTTTAGGGAGATGGGAGAGGGTGGGGGCAGGGATGAGGTTTCGTGGAATGCAATGATTGTAGCATGCGGGCAGCACCGGGAGGGATTGGAGGCGGTGGGATTGTTCGGTGAGATGGTTAGGAAGGGTTTGAAGGTTGATATGTTTACCATGGCCAGTGTTTTGACTGCATTTACTTGTGTTAAGGATTTGCTGGGAGGGATGCAGTTTCACGGAATGATGATTAAGAGTGGGTTCCATGGGAATTCACATGTTGGGAGTGGTTTGATTGATTTGTATTCTAAGTGTGCTGGTGGCATGATGGAATGTAGGAAGGTGTTTGAGGAGATTCGTGCACCTGATTTGGTTCTTTGGAACACGATGATTTCTGGATTTTCACAGTACGAGGACTTGTCTGAAGATGCTCTTTGGTGTTTCCGGGAGATGCAGCGCAATGGTTTCCGTCCGGATGATTGTAGTTTCGTGTGTGTGACTAGTGCTTGTTCTAATTTATCATCCCCTTCTGTCGGAAAGCAGGTTCATGCATTGGCTATCAAATCTGACATTCCTTATAATCGTATTTCAGTGAATAATGCTCTTGTAGCTATGTATTCTAAATGTGGGAATGTTCATGATGCAAGAAGGGTGTTTGATACCATGGCAGAACATAACACAGTGTCATTGAATTCAATGATTGCAGGCTATGCACAGCACGGTGTTGAGGCTGAATCGCTCAGGCTTTTTGAACTGATGCTGCAGAAAGACATTTCACCTAACAGCATAACCTTCATATCTGTTCTTTCTGCATGTGGACACACAGGAAAAGTTGAAGAGGGTCAGAAATATTTCAATATGATGAAAGAAAAGTTTGGGATTGAGCCAGAAGCAGAACATTTTTCGTGCATGATAGATCTTTTGGGTCGGGCTGGTAAGCTCAAGGAGGCTGAGAGGATTATTGAAACAATGCCATTTAATCCTGGTTCTATTGAATGGGCTACTTTGCTTGGTGCATGTAGGAAGCATGGAAATGTGGAGCTAGCCGCGAAAGCAGCCAGTGAGTTCCTCCGGCTGGAACCTTACAATGCTGCTCCATATGTGATGCTTTCAAATATGTATGCCAGTGTTGCAAGATGGGAAGAGGCTGCAAACATCAAAAGGATGATGCGGGGAAGAGGAGTGAAGAAGAAACCAGGTTGTAGTTGGATAGAGATGGATAAGAAGGTGCATGTCTTTGTGGCTGAAGACACTTCACATCCAATGATAAAAGAGATTCATCTGTACATGGAGGAATTGTTAAGGAAAATGAAGCAAGCAGGGTACGTACCTGATATAAAATGGGCATTGGTGAAAGATGAAGAGGTAGGGAGAAATGAGAAAGAAAGAAGGTTATTGTATCACAGTGAGAAGCTGGCAGTTGCATTTGGCCTGATCTCCACTGAAGAAGGAGTGCCTATACTGGTTGTGAAGAACCTAAGAATTTGTGGTGATTGCCACAATGCCATTAAACTTATCTCAGCCATCACTGGTAGGAAAATCACTGTTAGAGATGCTCACAGGTTCCATTGCTTTAAGGAAGGTCACTGTTCATGCAGGGATTATTGGTGATAAAGACAATTAATATTTCTATTTCGGTAGGGAGGTGTTATACTAATACCATACGAATTACTCACTGGTGGCTAGTTTCGGTAAACACATAATTCACTGGAAGTTTATCACGTAAGAGCTTTCATAATTTCTAATCTAGTCATTCATAAGCTTACTTGAAATATCAGTATATAGGCAAGAAATAAAATAAGAGATATCTTAAGGCTTGAGATCTTCATTTTGATATTGTTAATGTAAAATCCATTGTCAATCAATTAAATAACTTTTAGAAGTGAATTTCACAAATTAGATGATTGCTTTAATGAATTGCAAATAAGGAAATAAATTTTGAGTGATTTGAAGAAGTGAATAGAAAATGAAATTATTTAGGTTAATGAAAAAAAGTTATGAAAATGAATAGAAAATTAATAAACATACCATTGATTTGATTGAAGTGATGAAAGTTGATAATTAGCTTATTTTTCTAGTATAATCTCAAATTATCCTTTAATATTTTCTTTTAAAACATAAATGTTTTATAGAAAATTAGTAGAAAAATTAGGAATTTTATATATGTAAATTAAAAAATATGATTTGCTAATTCAAAGAAATAAATATTAAAAAAATCATTAAAGAAAAACCCATTAAATATAAAAAAATTAAGGAATAATACTATCATTACACGGACCATTCTCCCAAATCTCGCCCTTTCTCTTTACTTCATATTTTCACACTCAACATTTTCTACAAATCCTCTCAAGTACATTCAACTAAACCCAAACAACCCTCATAAATAATCCCTCCTAAATAAAAAATTACCCTAAACAGGTTTAATGAATTCTTCTTTTTTTTCTCTTTCTGCTGCTCCAACGACTCCCAATCCCATCTTTTACACTAATTTAGACATTCTCTCTTAAGTTCATCTTTACCAATAATATTATCTGACATCATCAATTATTTCTGACCAGAAGTGATGTGATGGGCTTGAATCATTACCCAATTAGCCTTTTAATAACCAAGTCTAAAATTACTGTTGAGTGAGTATTTTTTTGCCGGAGAGGAGTGCTTAGAGATAGTACGTAGCATGAACAACACAATACTGTCAACATACAAATATCTGCAATCCTTTTTTATTGCAAGAGCAATTAACTGTCTCGGATGAAATTGAGGAATCAAAAATGGAAGGAAAGCCCCAGTAAATAAATTTCAACAGTACTGTTCAGGAAGAAATAAATGAGAATTTTTCATAGCAGTTGTACCACCATGATCCAGAAAACCAAAACAACGGAAATCCCTGCTCTACTCATAATTTACAAGGGCTACAACCAAAGAACTGTAAGTAGGGGGAAGGACAAATCTTTATCCTTAATATGATTTCCCACAATGTATCAAGCTTCCAGCACCCAAGAAAAGACCAAAAATAGCAGCACTTCCAAGTGTAGTTTGTCCAATATGCCTAATTTTCAATAGCCCAGGTACCTGGATGCAGATCAATGCATTAATAAATAGGAATGCTGCTTTGTACCATAAATTAAGTTACTCATTTTCACTTTCGATAATAATGTGTATAAATTTCGGCATATAGGATTCAAAATGTATGTTTTGATAACTGCTTTTTTAACGAGGTAGTTACAGGCAGTAGTGGGCATTGCTGGAAAGTTTGCAGCCGGTTGATAAACAGCTGGTACAGATACTTTTATGTTTGGCAAAGGGCCAGCTATTGGCAGAATCTCGGCCTAGAGTTTATAACGTGGAGAACTTCTGAATTGTTTGTTGTTTACTGTACAAACTCTTATATCTATATTTAAATACAATTAATTACAATTTACAACATTTAAGGCCTGTTTGTAAAGGATTTTTACACTATCATCCAACCACAAACAACTATATATGGTAAGTTTGTTACTTTTACAATAACTACCTTGAAGTCATATAACACTCGATGTATGAATACAAACAAAAATTTAAAAATGATTTTATATAACAAAAGAAATGAGGAGCGTGAAAAATCTTTTGGGATAAGAGGAAAGCCACACTGAGGCTCTAAATAATCTTATCCTTGAAGTTCAGGAAAAGACCACATGACATACCTTATACCTAATAGCCTCATATGTTCCATACACGGCACCTGCAAAGAAGCTAAAAGATTAGGCAATGGTGTTCTAAACTTTTCAATGCCAGTAAATTAGATCTAACGGACAACCAAGATGATGTTATTCTATAAATGCATTTGACTATAACATTCAAGCAGGAAATACAATTTTACACAACCAGTTGGCTGAAAATTTCCACTACTTTTTAAAGCAAGATTACAGATGATGCACACTTCAAAAACTTCATAGATGATACTTAACCATTATATGCTTATGATAGAGTGTCAAACTCAATTCGCTGAAAAGATTCTGGAACCTAACGTGCAATATTCAGTATAAAACAAGATGCAAATCAATGTGTGAGGATGCACTCAGACCCCTTTCCTCTCTTCTAGGCAAATTTTCAAGACTTCATGAAACAACAATAGGATCATACAAAATTCTGTTTGTCTAGATTATTTCACAAAATGTCTTCTAACCCTTTCTGCAAAAGAGAACATAGTAATAATGTCCAACTCCAGATTGTCCAGGAATATAAAACATCTCCTGAACAACTAAAAGAGAATTACAAGTTATAACTGGTTACAATAAAATACAGAGGAACAGAGACCCAAAACACAAAAAAATGAGCTAAAATATCCAACCAACCAACATCAAATTTGTCTATTCGGGCACAAAACCTCTTAAACGAATGCAAAATTTAAGACAGTGACTATGTGGTGAAATTAAAACCTGGCATCAACTAATCCCAAAATAGACCTCTCACACTAAACAACTAAAGCTCTTGGTTTAAAATCAAAGTTTTTTACTCAAGAATATAGTTTATAATAAAAATGAAGAGCAATAGAAACTCAAATCTGTTGTTTAGACAAGTCCACACATCATTGTCCATTCATTATATAAAAAGTATATTAATAATTGGTCTCTAAAGTTTTAAGAAATTATTTTCTATTTTCATTCCAATTTTAGAAAACAGTGTGTTTGGATATGCGTAAATAACCACTGATACAAATAAAATCACATAAAATGCGTTCAACTATGAAGAAACCAGGGGAAACAAACATGCTGACAATTACAAAAAAAAAAAATGTACAAATCTTTGAAAACAGACATTGTTGTTTTCATTTTCAGTTACAGAAACTTCATTTTATTTCTCCTTTTCAATTTTACACAGAAAATAACTACGTGAAATAAAGTAAAACAAGGTAACATTTTCGCAAACGAAAATAAAAACATCCCCATAAACAAAAATAAAAAACGCTTTCTCAACCCATTTCCTAAATATTTTCTAATATTTACTGAGAACGAAAAAAAAAAAAAACACACCTCAATTCCACTCCAGACAACCATCATCAGCACCGTGGATACAAAGCATAGAAGAACAAGGTTCTATAATCAAATCATGCAAATCGAAAATCATTTCACTTCAAAGCAAATCTAAAACAAACAAAAAAAGCACCTAAAAATTTAAAGACCGAAACTACAAATAAATTTTGATAAATAAAGTATAAATGGAATAGAGATAAAGCGTAAGGTAACCGTAGAAGGTGAAGAAAAGGTCTATGACTGACCGACGGCTCCGCCGACTGCACCGCCCATAGCAGCGCCGGCGGTGACACGAGCGAGGCAACTGTCCCTTGCCATTTGAAGTCAGCGCAAGACACTCAGTGATGATGGGTTTTGGGAGAAAAACCTCAGAAAGTGAAAAATTAAATCCGATGTGGTGCTTCACCGTTTTATAATCCCTAGCTCGTGTTCGTTAAGGAATGCGTCAGATTAAAATCATGTACTTATATTATTATTGTTTTTAATTAAAATTATACATATGGACTTGGAAATTAAACATGTACCAATACTCATTTGGGTTTCAATTTTATGAACTTTAAAAAAGTCGGACATGATGGATAATGTAACTCTCGACTACATTTTTTTTTCTATTTTATATTTAAATTTTAAAATATTAATAATTTAAAAATATTTTTATTATATAAAATCATTTTTCTTATTTTGTTATTTATATTTTTTTTACTCATTTTTTAATATTTATTTTTTAAATTTTTTTATATCAATTATTTAATTATATTTTTTTTTATTATTCAGTTTTTCATATTTTTATAATTCTCTCTAATCAATTTTTTTTCAATTTTTTTAATCAATTTGATGAACAAAAAGTTATTTTTTTCTTTATCTTTTCTAAATATTTTACATAAATTTTAGTAGTAACTAATATTATTTTATTTATAATTTATATTTATTATGTCATATTTTTTATCTTATTATTCTTATTTATCATATATCAAATTTTATCTTAATAAAATAATTATATTTTAAAAAATTAAAAAAAATTTGATAATTTAAATTTGTATTACTTCGAACTAATTAAATAAAAATTAACTTATTAAATATTTCTTTATAAACTATATATTTCATATTTTTAAATGATAATTTAAAAATAAATTAATTTATATATATAATCAAATATTTGAATACATTATTATTATTATTATATAAGTATTTAATTATTTGAATATAATATTATAATAATAATAATAATAATAATATTATTATTATTATTATTATTATTATTATAAATATTATATATATATATATATAAATAAAAAATAATTAAATATTTGTTTACATACATATTTTAATATAAATATAATAAATTAAAATATATATTTAATTAATAATAATTACAAATTATAAAATGATAAATATTTATTTATATATAAAAAATACATAATAAAAAATTAATTTATTATAAATATAATTATTTTTTTAAAAATAATATAGATTGGGACTGGGAAACCCAAAGCCTAACGAGGACTGGGGATGATGACTTAATTTCTAACTCTGGTGATGATCGGGGTCGGGGACGAGGACGGTTAAAAAAGTCGGGGACGGGGATCGGGGGGCAAAATCCGCCTTCGCCCCGCCCCATTGTCATGCTTACTATGGATCCATTGTTAGACAAATGACATCTAGAGGGGGATGAATAGATGCACAAATTAAAATAGATGTCAAATTAAAAATTTATTTGTGAGTCAATAATTTGTTAAAGCGAAAACAATAATATAATCACGAAAGGAGAAAGAGATAAGGGAAAGAGAAGAACACACAGAGATTTATATTGGTTCGGGTATAGCTAACCATACATCCAGTTCTGAGTCAACTCTTAACACAAGAGTGACTCCCCATTCACTATCTTTCAAATTTAGTTTACAAATTACAATCACCTCCTTAGAAATCCACTAAGGATGAACACCTCCCTAGAATCCCACTAGGGATGGACACCTCTTCTAAACAAATCAAAGGATGAAAACACCTCCTTAGAATCCCACTAAGGATGAATCCCTCCGTAGAATCACACTAGGGATGAAAACCTCCTTGGAACAAATCAAAGGATGAAAACACCTCCTTAGAATCTCACTAAGGATGAACACCTCCCTAGAATCACACTAGGAATGAAAAACACCTCTTTTTCCACCAATGCAAAAAGGATGAAGGTAATAAAAATAAGAACAAACACACCTGGGTAATGGAGACAACAAATTGTAGAATCCTGTAGAATGTCAATCTCCAAGAACAAGTGTGATTAACAATGAAAGCACAGAAGACAGTAGAGAAGAGAGTTTTCTCAAAAGGTGTAAAATATCTCTCTTGTCTTGCTCAGAATTCTTTTCTCAAAACTGATTGAATATAAATTGTATTTTCGAATTCTGTAATTGTGTGTCTTTGATTTTTCATCAAAACTTAATTAAATAGAAAAATAGCATCAGAAAATGGTCGTTGGACATTAATAATATCATAGAGAAAATCAGGATGTATTCAAAAACATTTATTCTTTAAAGAGAATATATTTTTCAAATTTGAATTGCCATAATTGATTATATTACCAGTATAATTAATTATGATAGAGAAAATCATTTTTCCATTTCTAGTGCATCATAATTAATTATGACAGTGAAAAATATCATGTTATGAATTTTATCACACTTGTACTTTGGAGGCTTATGCATAATATTACTTCATCAACTTGTACCTCCATATCCAGTATTCTAAGACTCTATCTAGTCTTCAGGAATCATCTTGGGCTTGCTTGAATCATCATCTTTATCAAAAATATATATTGGGCATGTAGGGAAATGATTCACATTGTCACCAACGTCATAAATTCAGCTTGTCCTTAAATTCATCTTGAATGGTGTTGACTTGAATATAGTTGACTTGAATATAGTTGACTTGAATGTAGTTGACTTGAATCATCATCAAAATCATCTCTTAAGAATGCAGGAACATTTCCCTCAATCTCCCTCTCATTGCTTTCATCCATATCTACTAAATATAACAAATAAAATATTTATATTTATATATTATTTTTAGGTTTGTTATTATTTTTTATAATATCATTTATATTTTTAGCTTGAAGTCACAACTTAGAGTCTGACCTAACACGCTCTTATCAAATTCCATAAATCGATAAGAATATTTGACGTTAAAAACGGACAATTCGAGTCTAGCCTAACTTGATATGAGGTAAGGAAAAAAATTGAAGGCCTAGTCTCGACATATATTTTTAAATAAATCATGAATTTTTGTCTAGTTTAGCCTTATATTAGGTCAATGGATTAATTTTTGTCCAATTAATTTTTTTTATTAACGTATCTATATAAAAATAATTAATTAAAAAAGTATTGAAATAAAAAATAAAAATATATTTTAAAAAGTTAAATTATACTGATGAAATTAATTTTTATTTCAAATATAATGAGTAAATATATAAATTATAAGAGAAGATATTTATTTAGTCCTAAATTAAGAATTTAAAAATTATTCTTTATCATTCATTTTTTTAGTGATTTATTGATCTAAAATAATAATTCATCTTAATCATTAGATAGTAAAATAAGTGGATGTTAAATACTTACTTTTATATTTATTTTCTTAGAATAAGTGAATCAATTATTAAATTAATTTATAATATATATATATATATATATATGTATATATATATATATATTAATTAATAAAATGTTGTTATTTTTATTTAAAAAATATTATTTTATGTGAAACGAGTCGGTTCATAAATTATGGGTTAACTTGATCTAAGCACACGTAGGTTATGGCCTAAATGAGCCTAGTTAAAATAAGTTTGATTTAATTTAGATCATAATTTTTTTAGTCTAATTTGACTTATTTCGTTTAGAAATATCTTATCTAACTAAGCTCTGATACCACTTGTTAGACAAATGGCATCTAGAGGGGGTGAATAGATGCACAAATTAAAATAGATGTCAAATTAAAAATGTATTTGTGAGTCAATAATTTGTTAAAGCGGAAGCAATAATATAATCAAGAAAGGAGAAAGAGATAAGGGAAAGAGAAGAGCACACAGAGATTTATACTAGTTCGGGTATAGCCAACCGTACATCTAGTTCCGAGTCTACTCTTAACACAAGAGTGACTCCCCATTCACTATCTTTCAAATTTAGTTTACAAATTACAATCACCTCCTTAGAAATCCACTAAGGATGAACACCTCCCTAGAATCCCACTAGGGATGGACACCTCTTCTAAACAAATCAAAGGATGAAAACACCCCCTTAGAATCCCACAAAGGATGAATCCCTCCCTAGAATCACACTAGGGATGAAAACCTCCTTTGAACAAATCAAAGGATGAAAACACCTCCTTAGAATCTCACTAAGGATGAACACCTCCTTAAAATCACACTAGGAATGAAAAACACCTCCTTTTCCACCAATGAAAAAAAGGATGAAGGTAATAAAAATAAGAACAGACACACCTGGGTAATGGAGACAACAAATTGTAGAATCCTGTAGAATGTCAATCTCCAAGAACAAGTGTGAATAACAATGAAAGCACAGAAGACAGTAGAGAAGAGGGTTTTCTCAAAAGGTGTAAAATATCTCTGTTGCCTTGCTCAGAATTCTTTTCTCAAAACTGATTGAATATAAATTGTATTTTCGAATTCTGTAATTGTGTGTCTTTGATTTTTCATCAAAACTTAATTAAATAGAAAAATAGCATCAGAAAATGGTCGTTGGACATTAATAATATCATAGAGAAAATCAGGATGTATTCAAAAACATTTATTCTTTAAAACATATATATTTTTCAAATTTGAATTGTCATAATTGATTATATTACCGAGTATAATTAATTATGGTAGAGAAAATCATTTTTCTATTTCGGTGCATCATAATTAATTATGACAGTGAAAAATATCATGTTATGAATTTTATCACACTTGTGCTTTGGAGGCTTATGCATAATATTACTTCATCAACTTGTACCTCCATATTCTAAGACTCTATCTAGTCTTCAAGAATCATCTTGGGCTTGCTTGAATCATCATCTTTATCAAAAACATATATTGGGCATGTAGGGAAATGTTTCACATTGTCACCTACGTCATAAATTCAACTTTATCCTTAAATTCATCTTGAGTGGTGTTGACTTGAATGTAGTTGACTTGAATCATCATCAAAATCATCTCTTAAGAATGCGGGAACATTTCCATCAATCTCCCTCTCATTGCTTTCATCCATATCTACTAAATATAACAAATAAAATATTTATATTTATATATTATTTTTAGGTTTGTTATTATTTTTTAT